CCTGCTGGACCGGGCCCTGGCCAATCGCAAGATCGGCCACTTCCTCTTCTGGCACCTGCGGTAGCTGGACTCACCTGGAAGGCCACGGGGAGGAGGGGCCTCTTGCCTGCGGGCCTCGCGGTCTCCCGCCGGCCAGCCCGGGTGGCCTTGGTGGCTGGGTCCTGCCGGGCTGGGAGGGGCTGTGTGGCCCCGCCTGGCGAGGTGAGGCTCAGCCCCTTCTTCCTCCCTCCAGCTCCGAGATGCATGTGCCCTCGGTGGCCCTGCGCTTTGGCCTCATCATGGAGGCCTACTGCAGGGGCAGCACCCATCACATGAAGGTGCTGATGAAGCAGGTGAGGCTCGGGGCCCCCGCACCCCTGCCTGGGCTCTGCTTTGGGGCAGAGTTGCCCCGGCCCCTGTAGAACCACGTGGGCCAGGCCGAGGCTCAGAGCCTGCCCCTCCTGGCCTGCCCACGCTGCCCTCCCATCCTCCTGGCCAGGGGGAAGCGCTGAGCAAGCTGAAAGCCCTGAACGATGTCGTCAAAGTGAGCTCCCAGAAGACCACCAAGCCCCAGACCAAGGAGCTGATGCATCTGTGCATGCGCCAGGAGACCTACCTGGAGGCCCTCTCCCACCTGCAGTCCCCGCTCGACCCCAGCACCCTGCTGGCTGAAGTCTGGTGAGCCCCAGGCCCCAGCCGGGGCCTCCCCACCTCCTCCCCTCCCCCCAAGCCCTGAGGAGGGCCCGCTGCTGACTGCTGTCTGGTCCGGCAGCGTGGAGCAGTGCACCTTCATGGACTCCAAGATGAAGCCCCTGTGGGTCATGTACAGCAATGAGGAAGCGGGCAGCGATGGCACCGTGGGCATCATCTTTAAGAACGGGGATGGTGAGTAGGCCGGGACCCGGGCAGGGACCCGCTGAGGTCTTGGCTTCCCCTCGCCCTGCCATACTACCCTCGGCGGGAGCACGTTGCAATGGGGGCCGGGGGCGGATCTCCTGGAGGGCGAGCTGACAAAAAGACGAGAGTCTTGGGACTCTGGGGCCTGGGCATGGCTGGGATTGGAGAACCCACCAGAAACTCATGCCTTTCCTCCCCGGGGGCGGCTGCGCAGACCTCCGCCAGGACATGCTGACCCTGCAGATGATCCAGCTGATGGATGTTCTGTGGAAGCAGGAGGGCTTGGACCTGAGGTGAGAGGCCCTCCCATCATCCACTTGTGCCTGCACCAGGCCTAGGACCGTACCCCGCTGGAGGGGTCCCCCTGTCAAAGCTGACATTACCACCTCAGCTGGAAAAAAGACTGGCTCGTCTAAGAAGAGCAGGGACCAGTTTGAAACTCGGGGTCAGGGAGGCGATAGGGCCACAGGATGAGGGTGGGGAAGGCCAGCCCTGGCCCTTTGCACTGTCTCCCTCCATTGGTCCCTTTGCCTCAAGCATCCCTGGCTTCCTGCCCCATCATCTTCCGAGCCACCTGAGCAAACATGAGTTTCTCAGTTTCTCTCTGAACAAACATGAGTTCAGCCAAGGTGCTGACTCTTCCTCTCTGCATCTTGGGTGCTGGTGTGACCTCTCCGAGGAACCTTCCCTGGAGCCCTGGGAGTCAAGGGCTCGCCCCCAGTACCTGCCTCCTCTTTTCAGCAACTTGAGTAGCATCTCCTGCAGCCTTTTGGGGTTAAGCTCCTCGGGGTCAAGAAGCCCCTGGGACAGCCCTTGACCACTGTGTCCACCTGCCCCTCCTCCCACCTGGCTAGGATGACCCCTTACGGCTGCCTCTCCACCGGGGACCACACAGGCCTCATCGAGGTGGTGCTTCACTCAGACACCATCGCCAACATCCAGCTGAACAAGAGCAACATGGCGGCCACGGCGGCCTTCAACAAGGATGCTCTGCTCAACTGGCTCAAGTCCAAGAACCCTGGGTAGGTTTCGGGCCCAAGGGACAGATGCCCTCTCCTTCCCGAGAGGCAGACCTCGGGAATCAAAGGCAAGGAGGAGGGCCTTTGACCGTCTCTGTGGCTTCTTGGCTCAGCTGAGGACCATCCCATAGATGCTGTGGGGTGGGGGCGGTGGGGGAGTGGGTCAGGTCTCTGTTCCCACATGTATCAGTTAGTTATTGCTGCATCACAACCACCCTGAACTTAGGGGCCTAAATCACAAATCTGCAACTTGAGCTGGCTCAGCTGAGTGGTTCTGCTTTAATCACTCACGCAACTGCTCTCATCTGGTAGTTTGACTGGGCCTGGAGGGTTGCACATCTGGGGCTTCTCTCCATGTGGCCTCTCATTCTAGCCTCAGCTTCCTTCCATGGCAGTAGGGAAGGTTCAGGACCTGCAAGGTGTCTTAAGGCCCAGGCTCTGGAAGGTGCCCAGCATCACTTCCTCCACGTTCTGTTGGTCCAAGCAAGTCACAAGGCCAGATTCAAGGGCAGGGGACATAGATACCACCTCTTGGTAGGAGAGGCTGCAAAATGGTGTGGCCGTGGTTTCCATCCCTGCCCCCCAGGGACGCCCTGGATCGAGCCATTGAGGAGTTCACCCTCTCCTGCGCTGGCTACTGTGTGGCCACATACGTGCTGGGCATCGGCGATCGGCACAGCGACAACATCATGATCCGAGAAAACGGGCAGGTAGGGGTGGTGTGGGGCTGCCATGAGCATGGTGCCTCCCGCCCGGTGCTGGCCCGCTGGCCGTTCTGCTCTGAACACGGCTGCTGCTGCTGGCAGAGCCCCCCTATCCAAGCCCTTCCAGCTCCCTCCCCCTCCCCAGGCTCCTCTGGGTGAGGCACCCTCCTTTTTGACTCCTTTTGGGTCTTTGCTCTTCCCTCCCCTCAGCTGTTCCACATTGATTTCGGCCACTTTCTGGGGAATTTCAAGACCAAGTTTGGAATCAACCGTGAGCGAGTCCCATTCATCCTCACCTATGACTTTGTGCACGTGATCCAGCAGGGGAAGACAAATAATAGTGAGAAATTTGAAAGGTGAGGGTGCCTCAGACCCCTGAGTTGCCCCTTGGTGCCGGGGGCCCCGGGCGGGGTGCACTGGGGGCGGTCAGTCAGAGGACGCTGGGGCTTTGTGGGCACGGCTCCTTCCAGGGTGAGGGCGGGCTGGCGGCTGGCTGGGGTGCGGGGGGCGGGAGGACCCAGGGCCCCTCCCTGACCTCCCACTACAGATTCCGGGGCTACTGTGAGAGGGCCTACACCATCCTGCGGCGCCACGGGCTGCTCTTTCTCCACCTCTTTGCCTTGATGCGGGCGGCAGGCCTGCCCGAGCTCAGCTGCTCCAAAGACATCCAGTACCTCAAGGTAAACGCCAGGGCAGGGCCCCGCCAGGCAGGAGACCAGGGAGCCCCAGACTCCTCGAGGCAGCCCGCCCCCCCAACCCCCGAGCCTGGTGGACCCACAGGGCCCTCCTGACTCGTGTGTGCTCACACCGGCCTGGGACCCGGGTCTGGCGGGAAGCCACCGGCTCTGGCCCACCCTCCCGTCCTCCGCAGGCTGCGGGTGTTTCCACTTGTACAAGAGGGCTCCCTCCATGGTTAAAAACTGTCTTTCCTTCCTGCGTCTTTTCAGTTTATGAGACGCTGGGGCAGGGACTGAGAGGGGGGCATGGCCCCCCGAGTTCCTGGGAACAGGCTGCTCCCTCCCTTCTTCCTCCTGCCAGCTTCCGGTGGAGAAGGCCAGGCCACCTGCCTTCGGGGCCAAGACCTCCGGGCTCGAGTTGGCATCTTATTTTGAGGATGGGGCAGGGCGGGGGCCGCCTTGGTTGGGGTCTGAACACAGAGTTCTTCCCGGGGGATGTGTTGGGTGGCGCCCTCCTGGCTCCCTTGGTGCAGTTCTCTTAGGAGGGAGCGTTACCTGCCCAGAGAGGGTGGAGGTGCAAGGAGATGGGGCTCCCCAGGCCCCTCCGTGGGATGCCCATTGCTTCCATCTTGCCTCAGGATTCTCTGGCATTGGGGAAGACGGAGGAGGAGGCTCTAAAGCACTTCCGGGTGAAGTTTAACGAAGCCCTCCGGGAGAGCTGGAAAACCAAAGTGAACTGGCTGGCCCACAACGTGTCCAAAGATAACAGGCAATAGCAGCCCGTCCAAGGCCTGGGCCTGGAGACAACCGAGCTGTCAGTCTTGGGAGCCGGGCACCCTCGGCCAACCTCCGGGGCCCCGAAAGGCTGGACGGCATCCTTGGGAAAGAACCTACACAACTGCCTTTTGTTTACACTGGTTATTTATTTATGACTTGAAATGTTTCGGGAACTACACAGCCATACATGGAAATGTACCCTAATGTGGGGAGGGGCACCGTCCTCCCGCTTCCCCATCCGAGCCCTGGGCTTTGATGGGAAGACACTGTGAACCCGGCACCTCGAGGCCGCATCTCGCCGAGGATCTGTGACCTCAAGTCTTCCAGCTGGTGGGCCTGGAGCCGGCAGAGACGATTCTCCCGTGTGGGAGCTGCCTCCTCCCCAGGCTCCCGCCATGCTACACCGGTCTTGGTGCCTGGCAGTGACCTGGTGCCTGCTGTCCAGACAGGGCACCCACGCCTGTTCACCCCCTCCACCTGCGTGCCCTCCACTGACTGAGTTCTGGGCAGCCCCCAGAGGAGGCCTGGGTACCCTCTAGATTCAGGGATGATTGCTTTCCACTTTTTTTTTTTTTGCGGTACGTGGGCCTCTCACTGTTGTGGCCTCTCCCGTTGCGGAGCACAGGCTCCGGACGCGCAGGCTCAGCGGCCACGGCGCACGGGCCCAGCCGCTCCGCAGCATGTGGGATCCTCCCGGACCGGGGCACGAACTCGTGTCCCCCGCATCGGCCGGGGGCCCCCCAAACACCGCGCCACCCCGGCAGCCCCGCTTTCCCCCTTTTTTTTTTTTTGCTTTCCACTTTTTTTTTTTTTGCTTTCCACTTTTTTTTTTTTTGCTTTCCACTTTTTTTTTTTTTGCTTTCCACTTTTTTTTTTTTTGCTTTCCACTTTTTTTTTTTTTGCTTTCCACTTTTTTTTTTTTTTTTGCTTTCCACTTTTAAAGCAACTCGTGGGTACGGGAATTCTCTCATCTCTGCTGTAAAGTGATTTTGTTTGCGGGTGAGAAAAAAAAATAGCCAAACTACTTTACTGAACCTCTATGGCTCGGGAGAAAGGCCCCAGCGCTCATCACATATAGCGCACGCTGGTCCTCGAGACACGTTAAAAAGGCCTGAGCTTGATTTAGCTCATCCTGGTCATGGATCAAGACACAAGCAGGTGCGAGTACTTTGTGCAATTGTATGTAACCTCCCTCCTCCTAAAGCAGGTTTTAGGTCATGAAAGACCTGATCTCCTCTCCAGAACGCTCACCTTTGAGAACCTGCTCCCAGTACCCAGGCAGCAGAAGCGTGAGAGTTAGGGGTGTGGTGGCATCTTTTCCTCTGACGGTACTTAGCTTGAAATGATTCAGGCTCAGCCTTAGGTGCCTCTGAGGAGCCCGAGAAATGCAGGTTCCCGGGCCTCCCTCAGCCTTCTGGAGCCAACTCGAGATGGGGCTAAGAATCTGGGCTTCTGGAAGCCCACAGGTGAGCTTCATGTATTAGCAGCCGACTCGGGACCCACAGGGGCGACACCACTTACCTCTCAAAAGGCTTCGCACGGCTCAGCAGAGCCAGAAGTAGCTGCCCTCTCAGCAGCCCAGGGGCACGGCTTCCAGAAGAGTCCAGGTGCCAACTCTGTGTCTTGGTTCAAGAGAGGTGGCCGAGAGGCACTGCCCATAGCAATCCATGCCACCCACAGAGCCCCACTGACCAGACTCTGGTTTCCAACTAAGTGCTGAATTCATCAGACCCACCCGTTTGGAAATAGGAAAAGCCGAGTATATGTCTACTTGTTATTTATTTGGACAAGTCTGTGCTTCGTGGTGTGGGCAGCACACTGCATATACACAGCGATAGCTGGTTGGGTGCACGGCCTGTGTGCCTGACGAGAAGAGTATTTTCTATTTTTTTTAAATCATTTGATGTTTCTGTATGGGGAAGGTGAGTTCAGCATAACTGATGTCGGTTCAACAGTCTGAAACCTTGAAACGAGAGGTAAAAACAGATTAAAAGAAATAAAAGCCTTGGTATGTTATGTTCTTGGCTCAGAAACAAGAGGACGCAGGATTAAGATGAAAGCAAGACCAAAAACAAACCGCTCTCCCACTGGAGTTAGAACAGACTTTATTGTATGTATACACTTTCTGACCTATCATCAATATACACATCTGAAAAGTGATACCACGGCGGCTACAGACAGCGCGGAGGGTTCCCGTCTACGCGTTAGCGTCTATCCACGGTCTAAACAGAGCAGCGATGGTGACAGTACATGGAGGGGTGGCCACACATGACACAGGACAGCTGGCAGTGTCCTCGAAACTAGCAGTTATGATCACAGAACAGTGTTCAAAATTATTTTCCCCCAGTTTTAGAAATCTAAAAATTTACATGTAAATCAAAAACCACGTGCTGTAGGGGTTTTCGCTCCTGACTGCGGTTCTCTCCCTTCACCACCTACTGGGCATAGGTTTCACCCCCCGGGGGGGCTCTGGGGACGAGGGGGCGGCAGGTGCTCGGGGAATCGAGCACTGCCTTCAGGCCACTGGGCGTCATTTCCGCCAGGTTCTGAGTACGGATCCCCCAGGCCTGTTGCTGTCTCCAGACCAAGTGGTCAGAGGGTCTGCACCATCCACATGATCGAAACATACTCTCACCAGCAAGGAAACCTGCATCTATTCAGTATGGACCCCAAGGCTGCACCTGAGTCCAGGTTCCTGCATGAGGAAATGCCGGTCCTTGGAGAAGGGAGCAAACATGGCCAGGGACCCCAGCTCCCCGCAGCCCTCAATGGGTAGAATCCCAAAGAAAAGACCTGGCCGTTTCCAGCCTCCAAGGAGGGGTCCCTGATCCGGTCCCCTCCTGCCGAGCAGCAGATCAATGTCTGTGCTCCTTTCTCCTCATCTTGGGGCGGGGTGGGATGGGCAGGGTCTCCGGTCCCTCCCCTCCCACGCTCAGTGTCTCCGCTCCACTTTGCATCCAGCCCCGGATTATGCTAGCACAAAAGACACGAGGAATCCCAGTTTATTTACAAAATATTAAAAAGTCAGTTCATCATCTACATATTAACCCCATTCTGCCATTTTATACATGCACTAGTTTGGAAAAAATAAAACTTTTTTTTTAAAAAAAAAAAGAAGAGGACTACCAGGTAGGAGTGAGCAACTCTAACCCTTTGTCAAGGAGTCCAGTCACTGCAGCTTTTCTGGAGTTGACATCAGCCACAGAGCGAGCGTCAGCTCCTCACATAACTTAAGAGCGAGCAGGGCGGACGAAGGGAGGGAGCAAGGGGGAGCCTAGGGCCCTATACACCAAGCGTGGGCGGAGATCGGCGACGGGGAGGCTCTGCAGACCTACTGGCCAGGGTGACTCTGTACATCGTGGACCCTTGGGGCGGGCACAGGGATGACAGCAGAGCCTCCTGAAGCAGGAAAGAAGGCGACGGACGGCGGGCGGCTCAGTAGCTGAGGGTGGAGTCGTCCCACTCCAGCTGCTGCTGCCGGCTCGCAGCCTGCCGGTCGCCGGGCTCCGCCCCCTCCTCCTCGCTGCTCTCCGACTCGGCGCTGGTGATGTCATCCTCCTCGTCCCCAACCTCGCTCTCTTCCTCCTCCTCCTCCTCCTCCTCCTCCTCCTCCTCGCTGCTGTGCTGGTCCTCGTACGTCTGACAGAGAGACGGCCGACCAGGCGATGAATCCAGCCCCTCCCCCGCCCCAGCTGGTGACCCACGGTTTGTCCACCTGCTGGAAGCCACATCCCACGACCCAGCAAGAGGGGCTGGACTAGGCTCCTCACCAAAGACGAAGGGAAGCACAGCTCCGGGCACCAGCCACAGCAGGACCGTGACCCTAAAGCCGGCGCCCCCCAGGCCTCAGTTTGCCCACGCGGGGTCATGGTGCGGACCACGCAAAGCACGTGAGCGTGAAGGTGAGTTGAGCCTCCCTGGGGCCCTGGCCTGCAGGGGTTCTCAGTCGGGGCGTCACCGCCCTCGCCTACCTCCATGGGGTTCACGGTGATGGTCAGGGCAGAGTCGTCCCAATCCATCTCGTTCTCTTTGCCGCTGTCCTGGTCCCGCATGGTTCTCTGGTGAGCAGCCCGGATCCGGAACACTCCCAGGATGATCATGAAAACCAGGAAGCTGACACACACCACGATGACGACGGTTGCGGTGCTGGGGACGACTGCGGGGGAGAGGAGACAGGACGGCTGTGATGACGAGACCCGCCCCGCCCCGCCCCGCCGTGTGCCCTCGGCCTCCACTGCTCGCTCTGTCCGCCCCGGAGCTCTGAGAAAAGGCTCAGCACGGGTTCAAGTCTGGGTTCGGGCCCTCACTGACCCGTCCGTGCTCCGGTTTCCTCGTGTGACGTGGAATAACGGCCAGGCCGCCGGTGGCTGTTCTGAGCGGCGGTGGGGGAAGAGGGGGGCTGAGCTCACGGCAGGAGTCGGGGAGGGGCGTCCCAGGCCTACCTGCGAACGGGTGGGGGTTGGCCAGGTTGTGACCTGAGAGGTCAATGAAGGAGCGGTGCTCGGGGTGGACGAACTGCGGCTGCGCGGCCATGTGGCTGGCGTGCTCCACGGGGTTGGCCGTGTGGATGACGTTCACCTGCAGCGGAGACATAAGGGCAGCCTGAATGTGTCCGCGGATGGAGTGGACACGCACTTGACCAGCACCACCGAAGTGGGCCCTGGACCGGTGCTGGTGGGCGGAGAGAAGAACAGAAGCAGCCAGGGAGGCTGCTGTGACCACGTGATGCCGTCACACAGCCAAGAACATCCTGCTGTTGGAATAACTCACTTTTATTGTATCTAATAAAATACCTATCCACCACAGACGGGAGGGGAAGACACAGCACCAGCACTGGCCCTTCACCACGGGCAGTTCGAGAAGCCCCGGCACACCACATTGCCCCTCTTTTCCCAAAGCTACAGCCACGTGAAAGACAGCACAAATCAGAGCCTTTATTTCCTTTCAAATCTGCTACCCTTTGGCTCAAAGAAAACACTCACGGGCTCTTCGGCCCTGTGAGTTTAATGCTGCTGTTTCGGGGTCACAACGGAAGCGTTCAATTGCTGAAAGTAACTTTGGGTCCATTTCTCCAGGCACAGAAGCTCCGAGTGATACGAAAGGTGTCCGAGCAGGACGAGTGCCCTCTGGCCATTGCGGCCTGAGTCCCCACGACCATGTTCAGTGGAGAGCAGCCCTGCCGGTGCTGGCGGCAACCCTCGCCCTGGGCCAAGGATCTATTCACGGCGGGGCCAGCCATCTGCAAAGAAGCCCCGGCTCCCCCCGGTGAAAGCAGTGTCAGATCTCAAGAAACAACCTTGCCCCTCAGCCCGAGGCACGGACCGCCACTCGGTCCTGACCACCTCCCTCCAGAGGCCCCTCCGACTCTCGGGCTAAGGCAGCCTGTGAAGGGGGGCACCGTGCTGGGCCCCAGCCCACCCCGTGTATAACCTGTCCCCCCAAACCTCTGCAGGTCTAATGGGGAACAGCCCCCCGGCTGGGAAAGGCGACCCACCCCAGGATGAACCTAAACAGTTGCCACCACGAATGCTCTAAAAATCGGCATTGGCAAACATCAGGGCCGTGAGCGCCAGGCACCCGGTCACCACGCTGCTGCCCTGCTCAGCACAGCCCGGCACCCACCTCCACCTGGAACTCGTTGCTGACATAGCGACCATTCAGCTCGGAGCAGACGAGCTTGAACTTCCGGTCAAGCAAGGACCTGGTGTGCCAGTTCCGATAGCGCAGGAGGTGCAAGACCTCCTCGTAGCTAGCCATGGTGTCGACACCTGCGGGGAAGACAGCAGTGGCTGAGCTTAGGGACACGGGCCGAGGGCGAAGGCAGGCTGCAGGCGGGCCCCAGAGCCACCCGGCCACGCGTCTGGCTTGCCAACTGCTGGGGCGTCGTCCCCTGCCGAGGGGCAGGTGCAACACGCGCCCAAACTTCCACCCACTATGAGGACGGGACACCAGGCAGAGCTGTGCTCCCCTTCCTGTCTGGGAGGTGTGTGGCCACCACTCATCCTTTCCCACCTCCTCCAGGACTCTCTCCAGCTGCTGAGCTGGGAGGAGGGGGGCGCTGAGTTCTGAGCCTTCACTCTCCCGGTCTGGGGTCTGGCCTCTCACCTGTGAAGACCACACCCAGGTCAGAGCTGCTCACTTCGATGCCCTTCTGCTGCAGGCGGGCCGTGTCCACTTCTAGGCTCTCCTGCTCTCGGTTCAGTTCCTCTCCCTCCACCGTGACCTCGCAGGTGTCTAGGTCGTGGACAATCTCCTCTGACACCAGTGATTCTTGAACTGCAAAAATGGCCCAACCGGAAATAGCAGAGGCTGTGGAGCCCAGGGAGGTGCTCACAGCGACAGCCTGTCTGCTCATCCTCCAACTCACAGAGGCCTTTTAGGGACCACGGATGGAGGTACGGGACAGTCATTTTCAAGAATTGGGGGTGCTTTATGTGTCTAGGAGGACTGGCCACCAGGAAGGCCCGAGAATGTGGGGCCAGCCAGCAGGAGCACCCCGACAGCAGCAACCCCTGCCCTCTCAACCCACAAGAGCCATCCCAGATACTGACGTCAAGCTGGAAAAAAGATGAAAGGACCCTCCAGGTGGGTTTCCAAAGATCATAATGAGCTCTAGCCCACGGGTCAGATTCCAGAAGCAGACCCAAGAACAGCAGTAAAACATTCAAGTCTACAAAATCACAGAGGAAAAGGGCCAAGAAATAAGTAGCAGCAGTGGGGTTTCAGCCGCCCACTTTTGGGCGACTGGTCTAGGCTGTCACCTGTGGGGTCCTCGTCCCCTTCTCCTTCGGGCTCCACCTCTCTCGTGATGGTGCTAATGATCCGAAGCTCGGGGAAAAGGAAAACCCCCTCCGAACTTTCAAATTCGGAAGCCGCTCGAGCAAAATGGTGGATGCCACTCAGACTGATCTTGGGCTCTTCTGGCTGCAAAACCATCACGTAGCCATCCAACACGGGGACTGAGAGGCAGGTGGCCTCGTTAAAACACCTGCCAACAAGGAAGGGGATGGAAGGGTCAGGGCTTTAAGAGGTGGCTTCTCAAGTCACACAGACAAAGGCGCTCGGAGGTGGACCACAGGATTCCACAACCACCTAGGGGACAAGACGCCGGCCACTCCCAGAATGTGCTTCCAAACATCACTCAAACTTTCTGGTAACGAGGGACGGATCACCTTTCCTTACAGAAGGGAGGCTGGGTTGACTTAAAAACCTAAATACATTTTCTTCTCAAGGGTCACTGAGCAAAGACAGGTTTATTGTTAAAAGTCGGCACATACTTGACCACGCTGGTGATTTTGAGTCTTCGGATCCCGGGTGTGGGGAACTGTCGTGAATTCAGGTAGGAAATGTGCTGCATGGCCTTATCCAACTCCCCTACATCCTCTCCCTCCAAGGTCAACACTGACTGACTGGGGTTGGCCTGGAGCTGAAATGGCACCACAACAGAGAGACAGGAACAGAATAAGGTTCTAACTGCAAGAAGCTGAAACCACAAACACTTTGACAAAGAGGATTAGCTTGGGATTGATTTGAATTGGTGACTTGGAGAAGAAAAGCTCACATAATTCCAGTGACCGTGACCCTATTATATGATGGTAAATATCTAAGGCACAGACAGATCTGTGATATAATAAATATATATTTGGTCTTTGTCCCTGGTTTCTGGCACAGAGCTCCTAAAACTTTTGGAATTTCCTGACGGATAGGGGCATCTTTTTTTATTCCTAATAAGCCCCTTTCAGCCACCCCCAGAATTTACCGTAATGAGGTGACTCTTGGATGCGGGCTGGTTGCCAAACAAACCAACCACGTGATTACATTGGACCTTCAGCCTCACCTCTAAACTCTGGGGAGGGGAGAGAGACTGGAGATTGAGTTAATTAATCAACAGTCGTCAGTGATTTAATCAATCATACCTACATAACAGACCCTCCACAAAAACTTCTCAACGACAGGTAGAGCTTCTGGGCTGGTGGACACAGCGAGGTACCAGGAGGGTGGTGCACCTGGAGGGGGCGTGGAAGGCCCATGCACCCTCCTCCACTCCTGGCCCTGGGCCTCCCTTCCACCGGCTTGTTCCTGAGTTGTATCCTTCATAATAAACCAGTAATAGTAAGTGAACTGTTTTCTGAGCAGTTCTAGCAAATTATTGAACCTGAAAAGGGCGAGGGATTGTGGGAACCCTCGACTTTTTCAGCCAAGTGTGGGTACCGGAGGCCCAGATCCTTGCAGCTGGCACCAGAGGAGAAGGCATGTGGGGCCTGGTGCCCAGTTAAGTGTCACGACTGAACTGGATTACAGGACGCCTGGGGAGTTGGGGTCCAGGAGCTGGAGAACTGGTGTGAGAAAGACACCCCACACGTGTGGTGTCAGAGATGCTGTGAGTAAAAGCAGCTCAGGACAAATCACCGATCAATCCTTATGCCAACAGCCTCCACACTTGTGCTTGAGGAAGTCGTGGGTGCCATGCAGGTGGGTGCTGGTGTTACCTTGACACCGCTGCCGCTGTCTTCGGGGATGTGCAGGTCTAGCCCCTCTTTGCAGGTATACAGACAGTCAATCACTTTCTTATCTGTGAGTTTACCGGAACGGATCGTCAGGCCAGCCAGATTACCTCGGAAAAACTGAGTCATGTGCAGGTCACCACCTGCAGAACACGGGGGTGGAAAAGCAGAAGTTGTGAGTGCAGCCCAGGGCCTCCTGCTTCACTTTTCAATGTGATGTTACCGGTGGTGGCAGCCTGATGGGTGGACATGCGGGTTAGTTCCTACCAGATCCTGTTAGCCTTGCAATCGACATGGAAGCACAATGAGGAAATTAAATGGTTTATGATCATGCACGTGGCCCGGAGAAGAGAGGAGCTGGGGGTCCCTCCCCCGAAGCCCGGAAGCCAAGAGATCCCGTGAGTGTCCCCACACATGCGGCCACTTCCTGGTAAGGGTGGCCCTCGCTGCACCCGTCATCATGGTACACAAGTGATGTCCTACCAGCGCCAGCCTCTTCAACCACTGCCTTCTCAATCAGCTGGATCAGGCGCTGGCTTTCTTTTTTTCTTTTCTTTTTTTTTTGGCTGCGCCGTGACCAGGGATCAAACCCCGGTCCCTGCACTGAAAGCGCCAAGTCCTAACCACTGGACCGCCAGGTAATTCCCCTGGGTTGCTTTTTCTAACTGAGCATACTCGGGGAATACATACAAACTCGGGGATGAACGTACACAGGCAGGAGTAGAAAGATAAAAGGAACGCTAAAATCCTACCCTGCACAAAGCCTAGTATCAAGGCCGCCTACACGGCTATTTTGTTGAGTCCCAGTGAGCCTGTCTCCTACTACTGAGGATAACTGGGAAGAGTGAAGATGTTACAAGACAAAGCAGAAGGTGGCCCTTGACAGACTGTAACAAAGAGCCAACCAGGAGGTACTAAACCCTGTTCTTACACTGGAGGAGGAGGAGAGACCAACTGTCAGCAGCATGCCTCACTCCGGATAACGGACGTTAGACACTAAAATCGTCACTAGGGATCGAGATTTCTAAGAAACATTATTTAAAACTTATTATCAGTCAGGACAGAATATCTAGCCACGAGTCTTTTCCTGTCTCCTGGTTCAGACACACGAGAAGCAGGAGGTGGCCTCCCAACCAATCTTAGCCTGTGAGATTTCAGCGGGGCGCCTCACGCAGTGGGATGGGGTAAAATTTGATGAGGGAAAAAATAAATTCCCATTAGTACATGGCATTAATGAGTCATTTGCTCTCACTTCAACTGGGATCAGAATGGGCAGAAAAGGGAAATCCCATGATGCAGTGGGGTAGCATAAGGCAAAGCAGCAGCTCAAATAGTGTCTGGAACCAAAATGCAACTTGGGTGTCTCATGCGAAATGCACAATGAATGGATGTCTCGTCTTTAAATGAAACACAATAGTGAACCATAGGCAAGAAAGTCCAGCAACCTGCAGAGGCCATAGGCACAGGCTCAGTTTCATTGTCATTTTCAACTCCTGAATACTCTGTAGAAAAGCAAGACAGACAATAGAAAAGGACCAAGAGGTTAGGCTCTTCAAACTGGACCTTGAAAATTAGTTTTGAAAAGCTACCAAGCACAAACACAAAGAGAAAAATTGCCCTCCCGTCCCTCTCGGGGACACACTCCACACCTGAATGAAAACTACTTGGTCACCTTTTCCCAAAGGGATATTTACCACCCCCATGCTTCTTCCCATTCTTTTTTTTTTAATTTATTTTATTTAAGTATAGTTGATTTACAATATTGTGTTAATTTTACAGCAAAGCGATTCAACTATACGTATATATTCTTTTTCATATTCTTTTCCATTATGGTTTATCACATGATATTAAATATATTGTAGTTCCCTATGCTACACAGTAAGACCTTGTTGTTTATCTCTTTCCATTCTTTTATTCCACCTTCCGGCAGCCTCCTTGCCAAAACAAAGGTCGGATTCAAAGTGAGATGAGTAACAGCTGTGCACTGAATTCACTGATCTCCTCAACCTGTCCAGGCAGGACACTGCGAGGTGGCAGCTGGCGCTGACCGCAGAGACGTACCTGGTGCAAAAGGCACCCACTCTGGACCACAGCACCGGCCTTTTTAACGGGGAAGACACGTGTCAGCGTCCAAAGCCTGGTATGTAGTGAACATGTATGTCTTTTTTGAAAGCTCAAAAGGAGTTCATATCGGTTTAGACTTTGACTTCCAAGTGACAGAGGAAAGAAGGCATTTTTAACCAGTTTTTCTGAACAGAAAGGGAGAGTCAGAGGTTAAGGAACTCACCCAGAGAAACACAATCGGTGATGGGCCTGGGGACAGTGGCTGTGGTTCCCGACCAGCGTTCTGGGTCGAGGCACCCGCCAGCGACAGAGGACAGAATTTCCACTCTCCAAACCACGTGGTGGGTGCACGGCTTCCCTCTCCCCGCCCCACCCCATGGTGCAGGCCTCACCACCTTTCCTGCCGCAGCCACACGGGGACGAGGCCAGGTGTGCACAGTTGAGCCCCGGAGCCCACACGGCTCCTACGTCCCCCTAACACACAGTTACAACTGACCTTTCCGTTGATCCCATGAAGCGGGCCTCCAGCCCAGGCTCCCCACAGTGAACCTGAAGGGACTTCAAATCCACTGAAAGGAAGAAAGGAGATCTTCTCCCCCCATTAACTAAATTTTTTAAAATTTGTGTTTGGTTTGGAAATTTAGGCAGATTCTTCTGGCTGAGGATGCTGAGAGGGCTGAGGTAGAAAGGGATGAGAAAGGATGAAAACTGACTGCCATCTGATGGAGAGATGCCGTGACATGAAGAGGAAGGCAGGGTGGGACGGGGCGGGGGGTATTTTAACCCACGTAACAAAGTTTCCAGAATACAAAATAACATTTAGGTTCACACTTGTATTCTTTTTTTTTTTAATACGTAAATATCATGCCTCTTTTTTTAAAAAAATTTATTGATTGATTGATTTATGGTTGTGCTGGGTTTTCGTTGCTGCGCACAGGCTTTCTCTACTTGTGGCGAGCAGGGGCTACTCTTGGTTGCGGTGCACAGGCTTCTCACTGCGGTGGCTTCTCTTGCTGCAGAGCACGGGCTCTAGGCACGCAGACTTCAGTAGTTGCGGCACGCAGGCTCAGGAGTTGTGGCTCGCGGGCTCTAGAGCGCAGGCTCAGGAGTTGTGGCGCACGGGCTTAGCTGCTCCGCGGCATGTGGGATCTTCCCAGACCAGGGCTCGAACCCGTGTCCCCTGCACTGGCAGGAGGATTCTTAACCACTGTGCCACCAGGGAAGTCCCCACACTTGTGTTCTTATTCTTTGTTTTTTTTTGGCCGCGCCATGCAGCATGTGGGATCTTACTTAGTTCCCTGACCAGGGATCAAACCCGTGCCCCCTGCAGTGGAAGCACGGAGTCTTAACCACTGGACATCCAGGGAAGTCCCTTGTATTCTTATTCTTATTTTTTAAAATTATTACTCAGAAATTATTGTTTAATTTGGGAAGGAAGTTTGAACGAAAATTTTAAGAGTAACAACTAAAAGCTTCCTGAAATTTTAAGGGTAACAACTAAAAGCTTCCTAATAATTTATCCCTCATTCCTTGGTCTCACGTCCTACTTTCTCACAGAGGGACTGTCACCAGTATGAGGAAGTTCACTGTGAAATACTGTCTTATTCTCTTTCATCTGAAAGGATCTGCAGGAAAATTATGAAACTCAAATTCTCCTAAAAGCAGCCAAACTGTCTTGGCAGTTAGTCTCTTTCACAAATTTCTAACCTAACTCAAGGTATAATGTTTCCAAAGGGAAGGAGAAAGAAGGCCTATTTAGCAGGTACATGTAGTGATGATGACACCCTGAAGTGACACAACACAGAGTCATGGGCAAAGTTGGAGGGGGGGGGGGGCCCATGAACCTTGAGAGCAGACAAAGGGGTCTGGGAAAAATCACATACTTAACTTTTACTAACTTCTAAAATTTAGTTTTCCCTTTGGTTATAAATGTCAGCTACAAATCACAGGAATATTAGAAGAAACAATGACTGTGCCGACAGGTATCATGTCCTACCAGCTGCTCTGTTGTAGGTACACAGCATGGTTACAAAGCCCCTCCTGCTCTGCCTCCTGCAAGTTAATGGAGGTGCCTGATCTTCATGAGTTAAGCGGCCCAGGTGTTACTGCTTTACACATTTATCCTTTTAGTACTTTGATAGCTGTATTTCAGTTTAATTGGTCACCTTTGAAATCCTATGTATTTTATTTTGTTTCATAGACTAATAAGAAATTATCCTGAGAAAGGTCCATAGGCTTCACAGACCACTAAAGGACTCTGTGGCACAGAAAAGGTTAGCACCCCTGGTTTGGTGGGTCAGAACGCTGGGCCTGAGTGCACTGGCTGTGGTGGTTCAAATCCTAGCACCACGTAACCAGCTGGTAACACAGCTCACTGCTTCCCTGAGCCCCGGTTCTTCAGCTATGAAACAGGGATAAAAAGAGCTGCTGCCCCGCAAACATATTATTAGGATTAATGAGATAATGTATGTGAAGCCATTGGCACACAGCCTGCCACTCAGAAAACAAGAATAAAAGGTATCGTCTCGCTGGCGGCTGTCATCACATCCCATCCTGGTCTTCCAGCAGAGACGGCCCCGGACTCTCCCCCAATCCTCACTGAAGGTGCTCCCGCCAGGTTATCAAGTGCTAATCACTCTGACAAGCCCTCCTGGCCGGAGCAATTCACGTGTCTGTGCCTGATGGTTGCCTGTTTTTGTAAACTTTCCAACAAACAGGTTAATTTATAAATAATTTATAAACAAGGTCCTCAATGACACTCTCCCTCTGCATATCTCCTCCTGGACCCCCCGGGAAAGGAGTTCCCATCCTTTAACGCCTTCATCAAGCATGGTAAATAGAGCCCTCCTGGAGCCTGGCAGCAGCCGTGCCCCCCAGAAAGGCTATACCAGGCAAAGGAACGAAAAGAGGAAGGAGAGGACAGTAAGGGATGTGAGACTCTGAGAGGAGCCTGTTTCCACCAACAGAGCAGAGAAGTACTGAATTCTCGAAGCCTGGAGGGGACGGGGTGCCGACGACCGTTACCTTGCCAGCAAGCTCCAACCATGAGCTGGGTTTCGATCTTGGATGCGTGAAGCGGGTAGTCTTCAGTCACAGAGAAGGGCTCGTGAGAGACGCCGTCCACATAAAGAGTCACGTTTGGGATTTCCACGTTGAGGACATAGTGATGCCATTCCTCGTCACAGACCTACAAGGCCAAGGGGGTGGGTGGTTAAGTGTGAAACATCCACCTTCCCTCTCACCCAAACACGCAGCCATGAGAGCGACATAACTGGACACGAGAACAAGTCACCCAGAATGAACCTCTGTCTTCCTAAAAGGGAAAAGACTTAAAATGACAACAACAAAATACGTCTCATCCCACCGTATCTCACCCCAAAAAGGTCAAGGTGACACTACTATCTCTAGGACACTTCACACTTGGGGGCGCTACTCATTCGTCATGTGACAGAACCCCAGACAGGGAGCTGCCCAATTCCCTTCTGCCAAGAGCATGACACCAGGAAATTCTAGTATCGGCAGGATGGACACCACCCAGGGGGCTGGCCATTCCTTTTCTGGATCAAAATGAAAAATGTGGCACTTCCCCGGTGGCGCGGTGGTTAAGAATCCGCCTGCCAATGCAGGGGCCACGGGTTCGAGCCCTGGTCCGGAAAGATCCCACATGCCACGGAGCAACTAAGCCCATGCGCCACAACTACTGAGCCTGAGCTCTAGAGCCTGCGAGCCACAACTACTGAGCCCACGTGCTGCAACTACTGAAGCCCACGCACCTAGAGCCCGTGGTCTGCAACAAGAGAAGCCACCGCAATGAGAGTCCGCGCACCACAACGAAGAGTAGCCCCTGCTCGCCGCAACTAGAGAAAGCCTGTGCACAGCAATGAAGACCCAACATAGCCAAAAATAAATAAATAAATTTTTTTTAAAAAATGAAAAATGCCACTAGTTTCTGAACGAGGCCCACTACAGACACATGTGCTTTCTTTTTCGGTTCAAAGGTGATGGTCTAAATAAATACGAACATACAGCTCAGATGGCCAAATTCAACTGAGCTCCTCTCCTATCATGAAGGAGCAGCTCCCCAGTATCTCCCCTGTTGTCACGTGGGGTGCTGGTCTGCAGTCTCCAAGGCCTGGCTGGTCTGGCATTCCCTGATTTCTGGCTTTAGAGGAAGAGGCAGACATGCAAGAACAGGGACAGGCAGAGAAGGAGACGCTATGGGATGAAATTTCTAAAACTGTATTTTTAAAAAGCCTGCCCAGGGACTTCCCTGTGTGGTCCAGTGGTTAAGAAATCTGCCTTCCAATGCAGGGGACGTGAGTTTGATCCCTGGTTGGGGAACTAAGATCCCACATGCAGCAGGGCAACTAAGCCCGCACACCACAACTACTGAGCCCGCGCACCGCAACTAGAGAGAAGCCCCTGCGTCACAACTAGAGAGAAGCCCATGTGCCCCAATGAATAGCCCGCGTGCCGCAACTAAGACCCGACACAGCCAAAAATAAATATTTAGAAATAATAAATAAATAAATAAATAGCTTGCCCAATTTACCTTTAAATTCTAAGAAACTGAACCAAGGAGAAATCAAGCGCTAAAACAGACCAGAAACATCAAAATAAATGAAGAAATTACCAAAGATTACCCCCAAAAGAAAAGCAGCTGCTCTTGATAAGTCTGAGGAAAAAATTCAGATCTTTAATATTGTATATATGTTTCTTAAATATGCATAATGTGCGTATAAATGTATAATCACATATTTCTAAATAAAGAAATTGCACAGGGCTTCCCTGGTGGCTCAGTGGTTGAGAGTCCACCTGCCGATGCAGGGGACACGGGTTCGTGCCCCGGTCCGGGAGGATCCCACATGCCGCAGAGCGGCTGGGCCCGTGGGCCATGGCCGCTGAGCCTGCGCGTCCGGAGCCTGTGCTCCGCAACGGGTGAGGCCACAGCAGTGAGAGGCCCGCGTACCGAAAAAACAAAAACGAAAACAACAACAACAAAAAGACATTGCACAGTAATTCACTTTTGAGACAGATAAGATCTTAATTTTAGTTTCTTTATTTAAAACAAGTTCTGTAATATATGCTGCTTCAGAAAGTAATTTATATTACACCCCCAGTCTTTAAAATAGTACAGGTTTCTTGGGAAATACCATGAGCATATTCTGAGAAGAGAGTAGGAGAATTAGTATAATTTTTTAATTTCCTTGAAAACACGGTGATTAGGGTAGTAAAACCCCAAACCACAGACAACACCCACGACAATACTGGTGACAAAGTGACTACATGAATGCTGAAACAAGTCGGGTGGAGGAAAGCAACAGGGCTTCTGATCCAGGTGATACCAGAGTGTGTGAAGCCACATTTAAAAAAAAAATACTTTATGAAAACAACAGAAGGGAGAGATCAAACCCTAAAGCTAGGGAAAAAAAAAAAAAAAAAGTCATGCTTTTCAAAGTGTAGGAAAGCTAATTTCATGTAAAACTGAGGGGGGGAAAATGATCACGACTCAATCCCAAAAAGTTTTTAAAAGGAAAAAAAAAAAAAAGACAACCAAACGGAATAACCTCCCTTCGGATAATGAAACCATACCTGAAAGACATACCTAAGAAAAGAGATGAAAATGATAATCTGTTCTTTCAAAACACGCTAAAAGACATGAGGAAAATGACAAAACAGAAGAACATAGTTTGTAATTAGAGCAACTCAGAGATGAGGTGACAAAGCACAGGAATGATTTAAACAAAAGGGAAAGATACAGAAAACAGGTAAAGAATACCAACGAAAGATAAGAGGAGTCCCCAGAGAGGAAAACCAAAGCAATAGAATAGAATACTAAAAACTATAACAAAAACTTTCCTGAAATACCAAAACGTTTGAAACTAGATACTAAAAGGCATACCACATATTTGGGAAAACAGACCTAAAACAACCAAGACATATTCGTAAAATTAAATGACCTTAAAAAAAAGAAGGAAGAAAAAAAAAAATCCCAAGGTCATCCAAACAAAAAGACTGAGTGTTTTATAAAGGAAAGAAAATCAAGCTGTTGTCAGATTTTAACAGCAACATTTTACATCAGAACTCAATGGAGAGACAGATTTTCTGTTCTTGGAAATCTTACATCAGAGCCAGAGATGTTATATCCAGCCAAAGTGACCTTCAGTATAAAGGCCACAGACAAACTATTAAAACAACATGTAAGAACTCAGGAATTAACTGTTGCCATGAGCCCTTCCTGAGAACACACTTCCTACCACCCAAGTGACCAGAGATCAAGTGCCACAAGGGTGGTGACACTGACCACTGATGGCTGCTTAAATCACAAAGAGAAACAACCCGACGGAGCTTAAACAGATCAGAAACATGCAAACCCCATTCTGATCAAGCCTTTACAGCCCAGTCCCAATTTACAGGGTATAAGGAAGAGACAGGAGTGTGTTAAATGACACCACAGAGAGAGGAGCATGTTTTGTCACCAAAGAAATTCCAAGAGAGAAGAGGAAAATCTACAGATTAAAATAAACTCAAAAGGTCTATCAGCCAATCCCAGTGTATGGCCCCTTATTTGGATCCTGATTCAAACAAACAAATTTGTAAACATGAAAACATCTATGAGACAATTTGAACAAAAAATTCTTAACAGTGGAGGTAACAATGAAACAAGGTTGACCAAGAACTGATAATTATTGAAGCCAGGGTGTGTGGAGTTGTTCCTTACACTAATCTGTCCACCTTTACCTATGTGTGAAATTTTCCATGATAAAGTTTCTAAAACATGTAATCAGAAGAAACTGAATATATAAGTGTAGACTGTGGTTACTAAAACAGAACTATACCTAAAATGTCTACCTACATTGCAAAATTTTTTTCTGGATGATACCTTTCTTAGTTTCTTGAAAAAACTGATAACAAAAGTTTCCAAGAAAGAAATGATCTATGTAAATAAAAATTACAACAGTAAGAGATGAACACTGCCAAATGAGGCAAATAAATTAAGCTCAGGTTTCCTTCTTGCCCCAACTCTAAATCACAAGAGGAAATGACCTGCTGTGATTTTAATGAAAAGGCTTTCTCAGTTTACAGCATCTCCTCATTTCCTGTAACACATTGATTCTTTGCACATGACACTTGATTTTTATCACAGCAACTGTTAGGAAATCAGCTTTGCAAAGATATGACATCTCACAAGAAGTATAATGTGCTCTCATGTTGAAACTATATATTCCCACGAGCTAATAGTTCATGTGATGTCTGAAAGATGTCAAGATTGCTGGTTCCTTGAATATTTAAAATATCCCATCGCATCCCCGAATCTGCTGAGGCACCCAGGGTCCTTGGCACAATTTGGGAGCCAAGGCCTTAAATAATAAACAAATACAAGGACCTCAATCCCAATTTTTAAGCAAGTGCTGCTTATCTCAATAAATTATAACATGATATTTGGGATTTAAAACATATCATTTCTTTATACAGGCACACCTTGGAGATATCACAGGTTTGGTTCCAGACCACACCAGTAAATCGAGTATCACAATAAAACAAGTCTTACGAATTTATTTTGGTTTCCCAGTGCATATAAATTTATGTTTACGCTATACTGTGGTCTGCATTATGTCTAAAAAATAACAGTGTACGTACCTTCATTAAAAAATACTGCTAAAAAATGCTAACATTATCTGACAATGCAGGGTTGCCACAAGCCTTCAATTTATAAAAACTGCAATATCTGTGAAGTGCAATAAAATGAGGTACGCCTGTATTAATATTTTATGTATAAAACACATACATGTAAAAAAACAAACTTAGGCTTTCAGTAAAAAGGAGTTCAGTGGATTTAATTTGCTGTCCTATTAGCCACAGACACAGAAATCATAAAATCTTAAATAAACCCTGCCCATAAACAGCTGGTACTGTTCACGGTCGCAGTGCCCATTTAATCTCTCTGAAAAACATCCATAGCAGTGAGTTTTCCACGCACTCACCTGATTCAACTTCCAGTGGAATCCTGCAGGTTTGTATTTCTTCTCTTCTGAAGGATCCTGACGGAGGAGGAAAATCAGCCGGCAGCCGTGGACATAGAGTGAATAATGGTGTCGGTTCATATCTGCGAAGAGTAATTCTACTAGTAAACTAACGGCTTAAGACCCAAAGGAGAAATAAAAGCTATTTCTTTAATGGATCTTGAAGACACAGTTTTATCAGCATGGGTGAACTCTCCATGGTGGGCCAAGGCAGGGTTTAGGAAAAAATACGCTTGGGCTTTACTGAGAAGAGGGGCCCAATCCACTGAGTAAAGCTAACAAACGCCCAGAGACCAGTGCAGTGTCTTGAGCACAGAACAACGTGTGTCACCAAGAGCGCGTGGGAGCCTTTAGGGTTAGAATAAGGTGCCCACCTCCAGGCACCACTGCAGCGGACGCCCCTTACAGCGAAGCTCACCCACCTGTTTTGTCTGAGCTGCAAAGGACCGTCTCCTTCTTCCTGCCAAACGGCCCGTGCCTCATCCACACAGAGATCGTAAAAGGCTCCTTGGGGTTGACGGAAACGATGCCATCTGGGACCCTCACCCCTTGAGTGCCATTGAACTCGAAGACCTGGTCGCTGTCGTGGCCATTGTCAGTGGGGAGGCCGATGGTCCAGTTCAAGGAGCCGCCCGGGGAAGGGAGCAGCTCAGCTGTGCCAGACGCAGCGCCTAAGCAACATGGAGACACTCACTATGCATCATGCGATGAATTCAAAAGGGATAAGCATTTCAAAGCCACACTAAGGTACTGTCTTTGTTTTTTGGGTTTTTTTAATTGAACTAGAGTTGATTTACAATGTTGTGTTAGTTTCAGGTGTACAGCAAAGTGATTCAGTTATACATACATATATAAAATAATATAGTCTTTTTTTTACATTTTCTTCTCTTATAGGTTAGTACAAGATATTGAGTATAGTTCCCTGTGCTATACAGTAGGTCCTTGTTTATCTATTTTATATATGGTAGTGTGTATATATTTATCCCAAAGTCCTAATTTATCCCTCCCCTCCCCCTCTTTGGTAACCATAAGTTTGTTTTCTATGTCTGTGAGTCTATTTCTGTTTTATAAATAAGTTCATTTGTATAACTTTTTTTAGATTCCACATATAAGCGATAGCATATGATATCTTTGTCTGACTTACTTCACTTAATATGATAATCTCTAGGTCCACCCATGTTGCTGCAAATGGCAATATTTCATTCTTTTTTATGGCTGAGTAATATTCCACTGTGTGTGTGTGTGTGTGTGTGTGTGTGTGTGTGTGTGTACATATATACACACACACATATATATGTACATATCTTCTTTACCCATTCATCTGTCAATGGACAGTTAGGTGAGTTCCATGTCTTGGTTATTATAAACAGTGCTGCTATGAACACTGGGGTGCACGTATTAAGGTACCACTTTTATCCTAATGGTTATACAGTTTGCTACTTCCAGTTTAATTTTCCTCAAAAATAAGGGTTTTTATTATTAAAAAGATTCATAAATAATAACCATGGATTTTTTTTTAAAGGAAGAAAAAAAGAGGAGTATAACCTTTAAAAACTGTGAATCACTATATTGTATAGCAACTATATGTCAATAAAAAAATAAAGAAAAGAGAAAAAAAAAGAAGCATTACTTGTGATCCCACCCCAATATATCCACTATTAACATTTGGGTATAAACACTTCCAGTCTTTTCTTTATGAATGTACACATATCATTAAAATATGTATAATACGTATGAATATATGTCATAAAACATGTATAATATGAATATATTATAAAAATGGAGTCCTGCTATGTACATACCTACATATATTCCCAGTAATATTCTTTACAGCATAATTTAAAATGTCTGAATTAGCATTTCACTGTATAGAATTTGTGCTGTGATATATTTAGCTGATCTGTCCTGTGCACACGGAGTTGTCCCTGTTTTTTTCTCTGTGACAAACCTTGCCTTGACGAGGACTTCTGTGTGTCTCCATGATTATTCCCTTAGGATAAACTCCTAGAAATGGGATACTGAGCCAAAGAACATGAAACATTTTCACAACTTTTGTTACACATTGCCAGGCTCGATTTTCTTTTAAATTCATCCACAGAGGATTTTGCAACCTTTCACAGCCACTGGGCCCTTGACTTCTCTATTCCTAGGGGCAGCATGACTTGTCTGGGACAGCCTGGTCTTTTGAGTATCATACGATCTTGGTCCAAATCCCAGCTCGGCCACTTCCTAAAAGTGTGACCTTGGGCAAGCGACTCAGCCTCCCTCAGTCTCAATTAATTCTTCTGTAAAGACGAGGCCCATGCTACCGCCTTTGTAGGCCTCATGGGAAGATTAAATGAAATAACACATGTGGAAGGACCTAGCGTACAGTAAGCACTCAAAGAGAAAATTCTTTCTACCTTTAAACTGTTCTGCTGAGAGAAATGTTCATTTAATACCATAAAAAATAATGGCATTACAAGAAAGTACGTTATTTACACTACACTTACGTAGCATAAAATAGAAAAGATTCCAGACCTCTTCACTTACGTACATTTAGGTACGATTATGAATATTTGGATTCAGAATCAGGATGAGCCAGCAGAGAATATACTTTTTCCCTTTTGCTTATTCTTCATATGACAATTTCCAATTATGAAAGAAAACTGGTTACCTAAATCTAACTGTCATTATCACTTAGTGAAAAGACAGATGAGAACTGGAAAATGCTCCCTACAAAAGTCCCTTCCGAGCATCAGGAGGCCACTGAAGTTACTGGTGTTTTACCACCGGCCAAGTGGAACATTCCTCCTCAGCATCTTCCCCAAGAGGCATCCGTACCTCACCTTTACCTCATTCAGACAGACCAGAAAAATATCCGCACTGATGGTGAAGACAGAGAACTAGCCTTGGGTCAGATCTGTGATCGTTCTGTCTCTCAGCTGCTCCACACGTTGTTTGTGGGACATAAAGACTATAAATTCGATGCAGGTTTCCTTCGTTTCCATTTTCTACTTCACGTTTGCCAAAAGCTATTGCATTACCTGTAGCTTTTTTTTCCCTTCAGTCCTTACATAAGCGTCTCATTTCATTTAAAGCTCACTCCACTTACAGAATGCCTATTTTGATGATTCTCAATGCATGTTAGAGAAATACCTGCTTCAAATCAGTGGTTCTTAAAATGCAAAGACACACACACACACTTCTGAACAGACTTTTAGGGGTTCAGCGTCCCTCTCTCGCCTCCTTACCACAGAGCCGGTGGAGGGACTTCTCGGAGTAGGTGTCGCGGTCACAGCCCTTCCCTATGTGGCTGGTCTCCAGCTCCACCATCACCTGCACTGAGGCCACCGATTCATCACATGTCTCCAGGTGGACGTTTGGGAAGAGCGCCAAAGCACCAGTGCCAGGCTCGTACTCGACCCTGTTGTTCCATCCTGTGTGGGCCCACACACGGGGGGCGGGGGGGAGAAAACTCCTGTCAGGTCTCCGTGGTGAACAGATTTTCAGAGCAGGTGTGACAGCAGCAGAGAGACAGTGAGGCTCACCTTGCCACCCAGGGGTGCAGGTGGGCTTGATGCTGATCTTCACCAAAGCCTCCTCTGCTGCTCTCTTCTTCCCGCAGTCGTAGGCTGTGACTGCCAGCTTGTACTGCTGCTCTTTCCTGTAGTTCAGCTTCTCCGTGTTCTTTATATAACCTTCCAAGAGGAAAAACAGCAGTGAGAACCCAAACCCATTCTGCTTCTCTCTTCTGGCTTTTTTTTTTTAATTGACGTAGAGTTGATTGTGTCAGTTTCAGGTGTACAGCAAAGTGATTCAGAGATATATATATATATATATATTTTTATGGTTACATAAGACTCAGTTGATTGAATGTCTCATGTCCCTATCGGTAATCTTTTTTTTTTTTTTTTTTTCCCGATTATTTTCAAACCCACTGTTTTTGACTTCTGTCGTCCTATGCTGAAACACAAAATGCACGTGTTTCAGCCCTGGAAACACTGACACAGAAATAAACTGATGCTTGAGATAATTAACATTCATGCTTTCCTGAGCTTGAACACACACTAAATGCACCTTGTAGGGTTATTTAAGCAGAGGAATGAGTCTACAGAATTCAGCCTCCAGAAGCCCGCGCACCACAATGAAGAGTAGCCCCCAACTGCCGCAACTAGAGAAAGCCCACGCGCAGCAACGAAGACCCAACACAGCCAAAAATAAAAATAATAAATAAATTTATAAAAATACAAGATGGAGCTGCATTAAATATTTCTTGCTAAAAGATTTACTTTGTTAGAGAGAGATTTCCTACCCTCAGCCAGTAGAACAGAAGTCTGCTTTTTGAACATGAGTGCAAATGTCTGCAAAGTGTTTGCAATGTCCATCATTTCATTGAAGATTCTGGACTATGCATTAACAATGGAGACACCATAGCATCATCAAGAAGCCATAACCTAATAAAGAAGCTGAGCTCCAGAATAAGTTAATTCTAGTCAATTACTAAGGATGGCAGGGTGTCTGGCAGCGAGGTATCAACCTTCATCTTCAAGACGAGGCAGAAAAGCCAAATCTGATGGAGAACAGAAAACGAAACTGACTAAGAGGCAGTCTTATTCGGATGCATGCTGACTGAAAGGTAGGGAGATAAAAAAATAAAAACACCTTAGGTGGGGGATTTTTATTAGATTTTGGTGGGAAAGGAAAAAGAGGATCACCCTATAAGAGAACACAAGATTTGGTGCCAGAAAAGAGGCTTTCAGGGGACACAGTAAAAACTTAAATGTGACCTAAACAGACACTTCTCCAAAGACACAGATGGCCAAAAGGTACATGCATGAAAAGATGCTCAACATCGCTAATTATTAGAGAAATGCAAATCAAAACTACAATGAGGTATCACCTCACACCAGTCAGAATGGCCATCATCGAAAAGTCTACAAATAATAAATGCTGGAGAGGGTGTGGAGAAAAGGGAACCCTCCTACACTGTTGCTGGGAATGTAAATTGGTGCAGCCACTATGGAGAACAGTATGGAGGGTCCTTAAAAAACTAAAAACAGAGCTACCATATGATTCAGTAATCCCACTCCTGGGCATATATCTGGAGAAAACCACAATTCAAAAAGATACAGTGCACCCCAATGTTCACTGCAATGCTGTTTACAATAGCCAGGACATGGAAGCAACCTAAATGTCCATCGACAGATGAATGGATAAATATGTGGTATATGTATACAAAGGAATATTACTGGGCCATAAAAAAGAATGAAATAATGCCATCTGCAGCAACATGGATGAACCTACCAGTTATCATACTACGTGAAGTAAGCCAGACAGAGAAAGACAAACATCATGATATGCCTTAAATGTGGAATGTTTAAAAAAAATTATACAAATGAACTTACATATAAAACAGAAACAGACCAAAAGACATAGAAAACAAACTTATGGTTACCAAAGGGGAAGGGGAGGAAATAAATTAGGAGATTGGGCTAAAGATACACACACTACTATATATAAAATAGGACTTCCCTCGTGGCCCAGTGGTTAAGAATCAGCCTGCCAGTGCAAGGGGCAAGGGTTTAAGCCCTGGTCCGGGAAGATCCCACGTGCCACGGAGCAACTAAGCCCATGCGCCACAACTACTGAGCCTGCGCTCTAGAGCCCATGAGGCACAACTACTGAGCCCATGTGCCACAACTACTGAAGCCTGCGTGCCTAGAGCCCGTGCTCCACAACAAGAGAAGCCACCGCAATGAGAAGCCCGCACACTGCAATGAAGAGTAGTCCCTGCTCACCACAACTAGAGAAAGCCCAGACGCAGCAACAAAGTCCAGTGCAGCCAAAAATAAATTAATTTTTTTTAAAAAGTTAAAAAAAAAAAAAGGTAACCAACAAGGATAGCACAGGGAACTACAGTCAATATTTTGTAATAACATATAAGGGAAAAGAATCTGAAAAAAATATATATATATGTATATGTATATGTGTATATATATATATATAAAACTGAATCACTTTGCAGTATGCCTGAAACTAACACAACACTGTAAATCAACTACACTTTAACTAAAAAACAAAAAAACTTAAATGTGAGACAGACACACCAAGTTAGGTCTTGCTATGGACTGAATGTGTGTGTCCCCCCAAATTCTTATGTTGAACTCTTGACTCTCAGTGTGATGGTAGTAGGAGGTGGGGCCTCTGGGAGGTGATGAGGTTTAGACGAGGTCATGAGGGTGGAGCCCTCATGACGGGACTAGTGTCCTTACAAGAGAAAGAGACTAGAGCTTTCTCCCTGCCACGAGAGGACACAGCAAGAAGCAGGTCCTCATTGACGTTCGGCACCTTGATCTTGGACTTCTCAGCCTCCAGAACTGTGAAAAGTAAGTGTCTGCTGTTTCGGCCCCCCAGGTTTATGGTATTTTGTTAGAGCAGCCTGAACAGACTAACTGTGAGTGTCACCGAAGTGCAGACAAAGTTTGGGTTGGAAGCCGATTGGCACAGAGGGGCTGCCTACCCCATCTCCCCCGCAGTGAGGAAAGAACGCTCCTGGGTGCTCACCATCTTTGTCGACAGCAAATGGCACATCCGGGGTGACAATCTCATAGCTGCAAACCTGGCTGAACTGGGGGGAGCAGTCTGCGTCCACTGCCTCCACCCTCAGGATGCTGTCATACTGCTCCCCCTCTACCACCGTGGCTTTGTAGGACTTCTCCTTGAATACAGGTGCATACTCGTTCACGTCGTTCACCTGAATATGGACAGTTGCTCTGGAAGAAGGGGGGAGGGGAAAGGCTGTGTGTTTTGCTTGTTTTTTTTACCCCAAGAATAAAATTCCACCCTATTCTTAAATTTCCTTTAACTTTTAAAGTTAAAATAGGAGTCTGGTTGATTCTTCCAAGTCCTAGCGAGTAAGAGAGCTGGTAAAAAGGCAGTAATATGGGGCTTCCGTGGTGGCGCAGTGGTTGAGAGTCTGCCTGCTGATGCAGGGAACGCGGGTTCGTGCCCCCGTCCGGGAAGATCCCACATGCCGCGGAGCGGCTGGGCCCGTGAGCCGTGGCCGCTGAGCCTGCGCGTCCGGAGCCTGTGCTCCGCAACGGGAGAGGCCACAACAGTGAGAGGCCCGCGTTAACGCAAAAAAAAAAAAAAAAAAAAAAAAAAAAAAAACACCAAAAAAAAAAAAAAAAAAAAGATATTTAAAAAAAATAATCGGAGGGCTAAGCTTCTAAAAAAAAAAAAAAAAAAAAAGGCAGTAATATGAAATAAGAGACTTGGGATTTTCTTGACAGTGTGTGGCAGGGCTGGCAGAAGGGAGGTAAACTATATCAGACATGTTTGCTCTCCAATCAAAAAGTTAAAAATATTTTGTTGCAAAATCCAGAAAAAAATTAGGAAGAAGGGTTAAGAAGCACAGACAGAAGATGGGAAATTATGAGCATTAAAGCAAGTTCTGCCCCTGCTTCTAAGGAATAGAGACCACCAGGAACCCACTGCCGGGATAGCATCCACTGCTGACGCAACAAATGAAGGACCTCTACTTGCCCCTCCTGGTTCCATGTTCCATCTCCCCAGCCTGGGCACAAGAAAACTAGGGCATCATCAGACCAGGCTACAAACAGAAAACTGTCAGTCTCGTGTGCTGCTGACCAGGGCATGTTTCTGAATCAGACAAGGTCCCTGACTGAAATGAGGTCTTTTTCAAGGAAAATGATAATATCACATTTTGTAAAAAGGATGAGGCATGATTCACTGGCATGCAGCACTCCCACTGTTCACCAAGACCCTCCACACCCCAATGCTACCCATCCATCCTGACCCTCACAATGGGTTACACGACCTCACCTCACCTATGTATCCTCCTTCCTTAGCCAATACACTAAGGAGAAACTGAGACACGACAAAATTAAATTTGCCTAATGTCGAAGGGCTAGTAAGTGGCGGAGAAAAGACTAGAAAAAGGCTAAATCCAAGTCTTGTTCAATCTTCTCCGTTACACCAGTAGTTCTCAACTGGCAGGAACGATGCGCACACACCCAGGATGGGGTGCAGAAGCTAGCTCTCTTCCACCAGCTCAAAAGCGTTTCATGCCCTTTAAATTTACAGAAAAAAAAAAAAAAAGATAAACGTAACAACAAAATATCTTCCTCTGGGTAAAAGTAGGCTTTTTGAATTTTCAATGTAAGGCCCTAGTTTCTTTACTAGAGTATCTGGTGGGATAAAATTACTCATTTATTCAACACCTACTATGTGCCAGGCACTTGCTGGGAGCCATACACAAGGGTAAACAGGATACCTGCCCTCAAAGAGCTTACAATCTCACTGGGGACAACTGGGAACTAGCCTCTGCCTCACGTTTCAAAAACAAGAAGTCTTGGGGCAGCGGCAACTGTCACCACTTTCCTTACACACACGCGCTCTCTGTCCAGCTCACTTACTTATGAGACTTTTTCACGTTGGCCCCGTCAGGCCCCTTCCCGCAGTCGTAGGCCTGGATGGTGAATGTGTAGTCCTTCTGGAGTTCACAGTCCAGTTTCTCTTTTGAGCGAATGATTCCCTCGCCAGTGGATTTATCCACCACTACTGCATCAAAGGGGACATTCTGCCCATGAATTTTAAATCCACAAATCTCACCTAGGGAGTCAAAACAGCATGGGTTAGACTTTCCACCACACAAACCCAGGGCACACTCCCCTCCTCTCCCAAAGAAAATAAACAACAACAATTTGGCAGCCAGGGGTTTAGGGGGTCTGTGAACAAAGCAAGGGCACTTGTGCTTGGACAGGGGGTAAGTTCTGGGGCTTTAGTAAAAAGAAGCATGTTCTGGCTTTCCAAGCAACTTGTTTAAACTTTGCATCCATTCATGCAGGAATACAAAAGAGAAAGAGAAAATATATAGACAGGCATTTCACAGGAGTACTTAAGAGAGCTCCAGGGCAAAGTAGTTTCATTAGCAAACAGCCAAGGCCTGATAACACGGAGAAACTGCCCAGCTACCTGGGAGGGCTGGGCAGCTATTTTGATTTGGACCAGAGAGGAGGCTAGAAGGCACAGTTAAGTGTTGAGAGAGGAAGAGGCAGTGAGGCATAGGTTCAGCACCATTATTACAGAAAGTCTGTCAAAAAAAAAAAAAAATATCGAAGAAACAAGTCTTCCTGTGCAATGAGCCTGGCTAAAATTAGGGAATCAAAACAAACTACTGAATGAGAAAACGGTAGAAATACCAACTTTTCAGGCATCCATTTCAACAGCTATCAGCTACAATTAAGATACAGTTTCCATTCTCGGGAGGGATTTGCTAGACTTGCCTTGTTTCGGACTTTATCCTATCAGACCTGAAAAAGAAGCCTGCCTGGGAACGTAAGCACATCCAAGTTGGTCTATAAGCTTATTTAGGAGTTAAAATCTAGGTTTCCATTCTGGCCCATGGGAGAATACATATAAATACTTTGATGTATGTATAAAACTTCACAGAGTATATTTCACATAAAAATAAAACTGAACTCTTCCAAAATTACAACTAGTAGAAAATGGTTACAAAGTGAATCTCTTAAATCCAATTTTAAAAAAAGGAACAGGATTATCCATATAGTTCAAATGGATGTCTGATTTCCAGATATTTCTAACCAAGGGTCTGGTTACATACAATTTCCATCAATATACTTAAAAATAGAAATAAATAGGAGAATAAATAGGGGTAAGAGAACATGACAGTTTCTTCTGTTTAAGGGCTGATTCCCAATTTTATAAACAAAGTTAGTGGGTTAATGTTCATAAGAGGCATAGAAAGAACCCTTTATCACCTTCTTTGGTGACTGTCACCTCAAAACTCTCTAAAGGGAGAAAAGATAAACCCATGTCAGTAATACAGGAAAGAAGGAAGCCAAAACAATAAGGAAAAAAAAAGTCAAAGATGCACATATTACATAGAAAAGCTTGACATAATTTAACAACAAATTCAGTAGCCAGCTTTAGCAGAACTGCATCTTCAGTAACAAAACATCTCTATGAATCCAACTTACCACAGATTACACTAGCCTAGTGATGAAATACCGCTATAAAGTCTCCTCACACCCTCAGGTGTCATGAGGATTTTTTGCTTCATGACTGCTTTGATGATAACGGTTTCTAAGTCTACTTGTTATTTTACAGTTTTCGGATTTTCATTTTCAAGCTAAGTTCTCGGTGGCTAGATTCTGGTAACTTTCAACTCGTCCTTAGATTTAACAAAACAGTTGGAGGAAAGGGTTTTACTTTAACCCTTTGTCTTGAGCTGAATAATAATGTGTTCTCACCTAAAGTAACCAACCAAGGCAACAAATACAAAGCCCTCTTCTAATGGAACATATACTTAAATGCGAACTGCAACCAGATTCGGTACTAACTGTAGCGATGCTACAACGATCATGGCTTTTATTTTGTGAAAACAGCTCTTCTCCCAAGTCCATATAAATCCTGCTCACCTCACCCTGCGAGCCCTACAGAGAAGAAACAAGACGATCAAGAGTCCCTCTCCCAAGACGCAGCGTGGGCCTCGCCTGGGAAACCGTCCCTCCCACCAGAGGTTACACAGCCTCAATTCCCTGCTTTTTTTTTTTTTTTTAAATGGTTTTACCACATATTTGCATATCCCTCAACAGTGTTGTTTCATTTTATTTTTGAGTTTCAAAAAATGGCCATCATATGGTGTGCAATTTTTGCGACTTGCGTTTTCACTTGACCTTTTCCAACCATGTGTGTCTGAGATGACTTCGTCCTTGTTGGCATATGCAGTCACATAGTTCATTCACTCTCACCAGCACGCACAGGGAGAACCCAATGAGTTAAAACATAAGCGCTTAAAACATTGCCCGGCACAAAGAAAGCGCTCTGCGAACATTTGCTGTCACTGTAATTATTTCCCATTGTGTGAATACACGGTAACTCCAGTGTTTTGCTGTGTATGAACAAGGCTACGGTGGGTGCTTCTGTCCTGCTTCCTGGGCATATACACAGGCTCTCTCCAGATCTGTGCTGCCCGGTACCGGAGCCACTAGCCACGTGGGGCTGCTAAAAATTGAACTAAAATTCATATTTTAGTGCGTGATATTAAAAACTCAGTTCCTCGGTCGCAGTGGCTGCATTTCAAGGGCTCAACGGGCACGCGTGACTAGTAACTACTGAATGGAGACGTGGACAGGGAATCCCACCACCATCACAAGCTCTACAGGACAGCACTGCTCAGAGCGGTGGGGGCAAACCCGCAGGTCAAGTCCAGCCAGGGCATGATTTTGAACGGCCTGCGAGCTGAAAATGGCTTCTGTGTGTCACTTCAGGACACAAGAAAATTACATGAAATTCAAACTTCAATGTCCATAAGTATTGTTTTATCAGGACACAGACCTACTAATGTCTTGTCTAGGGCTGCTTTCCCCTCCCCCGATAGTGGCACAGTTGGGTCACTGCCAAAGAGACCCTGTGGGCTGCAAAGCCTCAAAATCTCACTACCAGCTTTTTACAGAAAGGCTGGCTGATCACTGCTCTAGAATCCACCATGAGCACAACTGCTGGGTACCAGCTGTGTCCAACTGTTTTCCAAAATGCTAAGTCACTAGATTACATTCATACTTTTCGGGTGTATACTAATACAGCATAGTACATGTTAAGATAAATCAAGTTGCCCTGCTTTAATTCAGAGGTAACGTCTCGGTTTTTGACTTGGAGTTTGCTGTTCTAAAGAGAAAACGGTGAGGCCGTCCCACATCACTCACCGTGACAGCATGTGCTTTCCCGACAAGGCGGCTGTGTAGGGAAG